CAGAAAATGGAGGGGGTGAAAGAAAAAAAATATCACTTGTGTTATGACTTGAGTTGTGATTTACCTCTGCATTAAGGAAGAACAAAAATATATAAGACATGTAGACATGGCACTTAGGGACGTGATTTAATGGTGGACTTGGCAGTGTTAGGTTAATGGTCAGACTCGATGATCTTAAGGGTCTTTTCCAACCTTAACGATTCTATGATTCTATGATTCTAAGTGCCCCCAACAGCTGTCTCACCCTGGCACAGGAGGTGGCTGGCATAAAGCACTTGTTCAGGCACTGAGCAGATTGACACGTGAACACATCAGCAGCGTGGAGGTAGTTTCAGTGATGGATATGTCCACTAGCACAGATGAAGCTGAACAAAGAGGCTTTCAAGGCCCCAGGGACACCTAAAATTCAGTTTTGGCAAATAAAGGTGCAGTCCTTCTGCCTTTTCATACGCTGCTCTGAGCTGCTGTGGAGGAGTACCATGAGCCAGCCCCTTATTTCCATCAAACCATAATAACAAATTACAGGCTCTCATATCAGTTTGTCATTTTCCGAGTGACTGCAGAGATACACTCCAAGCTGATGAATTATTTAAAACAGATGCAGTACATTTCAGAAAATGAATTTGATTAAGTGGCAAGATATTATGAAGAAAACTGAGACAAAAGCCTAGGAAAATCTATTTTCATAAAATATAGCATGCTTCCTGTCTGACGAAAATTTTGAGTAAACAGACGAATTAGTAGGTAGGCTGATAGGATGTCCACTGGGGAGACATATTTACACAGGAAGCTCACACGAAACGGAGAGTGGTCCTGCTAAGCAAGACATACTGCCCTCTCTCCACTCCATCCCCGAAACAGGCAACAAAAAGGAAATAACACATGGGGCTTTTTTTAGTTTGAAACTTCTCTTCTTTCCAAAGCCCTGCCCTGTGTGCTGTGCGGGTATGTTTTTGCTAAAGCACTACTGGTATGTCACTTCGTGGATGTTACTGAAGCTTACAGGTTCTGCCTAAACCTCTATACAAAAAACATTCTAGATTGTCACGGCTTTCGTGGCTTGTCACAATATGTAGAGCTTTATAGGGAGAAGTCAGGTCCTTTCTCAGACGAGATCTGGAAGAGGTGTTTGAAGACATGAGCCTCCAGGAGCTCATCTGTTTTTTCCCCAATGAAGTCAGCTTGTGTACAAACCGTGTCTTGACAACATTCTCAGGCATGCAGGCTACTACAACGTTACTGCATGAAATACATAAACCATCTTTGCACTGAAAATGGAAAATTGCTCTCACATATTGCCTTGTTACTGCCATGTACTGATTTCCTTTCTTTCTTTCTTTCTCTTTATGTCTACTGAAAGACATCAATATAATTTATTTGCTTATTTGCTTCATTGAAATAGCAAAGAAGCTCTTATTTAATTGCCATGCATATTATCATATTCACCTAATATAGTATAAATTCCCCTGCTGTTTCAGTTGGACATCTGTCTTAAACTGTTGTGGTGGGAGTAAACAGTGTATTTCATCTTAGAAATGGCCCTGTTGAATGATACGTGAATGTTCAGTTATTTTCCATCTTCTCTCTCACAGTACTTCTTTCCTTTCCTTTTTATTTTCCTTAATAAAAAGTCATATTTCATATTTAAATTCACAAAAGTAAAAAAAAAATGGTTAATAAAACAGTTTGTGATTTTCCTTTCCCTCTCCCTCTTCCTCTCCTTCTCCCCTCCTCTCCCCTCCAACACTGGAAGAAAGACTTGTATTAGAGGATAGCACTTCTGGCTCAAGTCTAGCCTGGATATCGACTGCTGGCAGTTTGCTTCTATATGGATTCATCACTATTGATTTTTGTTCTGGGTTTAAGATACGGGAATGTATCACTTTCCCAGCGTCAGTCTCATACAGACTTCCTAGCTCTCCCACGGCTAGTATCTGAGCTCTTCACGTGCACGAGCGCAGCCACCATCCCAGCAGGCCTGGGGGTAGGAAGCCTCAGATCGGCCAGCGGGCGTATGTGCGCTGCAGGCTGCAGGGGCTCCTGAAGACACAACCGTAAATGGGAAGGATGAAGCAGCACCTGCCGAGCTCCACGCCGCTACGGGGGGACCGCTTCCTTCCAGCTACTTTGCGGTGCAGACGTGCACAGTCCCTTCTGTACGGTCGTACGGACTGTAGTTTGCGGTGGAATAGAGAAGCAACCCCAGATACATATGTCTTAGGCTAATATCCTGACTGGGCTCTATCCCCTTCTTTCTGAATCACAGGCCGATGCTAAAATACAAAAAAAGGAAACTATCCAGTCTGTGGATTTCTCATGGGAGCCAGATGCCCTAAAACATGGACAATTGTCCAACGGATTTCTTGAACAGCCACATAGTAACCTGCTCTTGCAAAAGTGCTCTGAGACAGATACAGAGGAAGAGCATTTGGATTTTTTGACAAAAGTGGCAAAAAGAGAATTTATACAGCTTTAGCAAAAGGATGATGAAAATCCTCCCACAGATTTCTCTTTTCCAGTTGCAGAGGAGTATACAGTGGAAATAGATTGCCAACTTTTTATTTCACATAAAAACAATAAAAAGGTTAATGTTAAGAAATAGAAACCAAGATCAGTGTAACAACAGTTTAATTCAGAGATAGGTACAGCGACTACTGGGAGTGAAACCAGTTACCCTTATCTTGAACAAAGCACGCTTCTGGAGGAAAATACTTGTTTATTTAGACTGAAAACAGACGGCAGTCAATACACTGACCAGTGTCCTCCTAAGCAACAGGCAGTGTAACCTCAGATTCGCCAAAGTGGTCTGAACTTTCCAAGTAGTGGGAGCAATAAGTGCTTAGCGCCTTTGCAAAACTGCCTCTCTCCGATTCAGTACCCCACATCAGAGGCACCTGAGACACCTGTGTTCTTTAACTTATCTGCAGTCTAATCCTCCCCACCCACACATACACATATAAAATGGAAATAACAATTTAAACCTATCTACATAAATACAGCTCTTTGAAATGCACTAATGTATGCTGTTACCTGAATCAGGAGAGCACTTATGCACAGCACACACTCACATCCAAGTTGCAGGGGGAGAAGAGTTTTAAAGTTTGGGTACAATATCAGGTTGCATCGAGGGGATTATTATAGACAGAGAGGAGAGGAAATTGAGGCTAAGAATGGTCCAGGAGGGAAAAGGGAAAGGGCATGGAAAATAAGTCAAGAAAAAGCTCCAAGAAGTAGATGGTTCATGATTACTTTAGGTAGCAGTTTAAGTTTCTCAGTTTTGGAAATGAAAATAACACCTACTTATCACCAAGAGGTGGGTTGGTAATTCATGTTGAAAAGTGCTCAGAGATTCTTGGAAGAAAGGTATCTTTGGAAATGTGAAGTGTCATCCTTGAAGCATTTGTTATTATGCCACAGTGTGATTGTGGACTTCAAAACTGCTACTAAGAAGTGACGTAGAATGAAATCAGCAACCCATCCAATAATAAATACTTGGCCAACCCCAGTATTTCTACCCATGGTACCATCAATAGACATATACCGGTGGGAAGAATGGGTAAGAAAAAATCTCAAGTGTGCATTTTACTAGGTCTCTCACCTGGAAAATCTAGTTTGCTAAGTGTACAGCTCCAGGTGGTGAAATGAGTTTAGAAATTTGTGTTTACTCTCATTTTGTTTCCCCTTGGGAAACTGTAACCAAGCTGCCAGAGTGATGAAACCACCACCAAGGAAGTCAGCAAAAGAAAGCAATAGACTTCCATGTTCTCCTAGCTCATGACAGGCATGCTCGGTTAGCCCTGTACCTTTACGTCGGGATCAGAAGGGGTTTACCTTAAAACATTTCTCTGTCCGCTTACTGATTTACAGCATGTGCCTTCAAATCCTGCAGTCACATTATTTGCCTGCTCCCAGACTTGCACCTTTAATGTCAGTCCATAACTCAGTTCCTTGGGCTGCCAGCAATCAGTGCTTCAGAGAAGGGAGGAGCATGGAGATGCACCCAAAGTCTTTCCATTTTGGTCCATCTCTGTGCCTCTCTGAGATTTTCTGCTTAGGTCGACAGCATGTCTCAGTCTCTTTCCAGATTGTTAATGACTTGCAAACCTGAGAGCGTGGTTGTTGGCATTCCCTTTACTTCATGTGTTCTGCCTGCAAGTGCTAAGGAAAGACAGAAAGATTTAAGATACATTCAGACCATAAGGACAAAGAGGTTTAGAAACTGAAGTCTGATCTTTTTACTTCTCTCCTTTTAAGGTAGGGCTTCTATCAAGAACTGGATTACCCTACCCCAGAGCCAGGCTGTTTTACCTCAGTTCATTTGCCTGTGCCTGAAGAAGAGGTGGAGATAGCACTTCCTTCAGTGTACCCTATGCTGCACATTGCATTCCTGATGCATTTATGGAACCATGCCCAGGCCAGCTCAACGAATGAATCCTAGAGAAAGTCAGACCTGTTCTGCCAGTCATCAGAAACCCACTGCTATTAGCACAGCAGACTATTGGATACGTGTGTGTGTGTGTGTGTGTGTGTGTGTGGTGACACCCTTCCCTAAGGACATCCTTCAAGGAAGTGGATGGAAGGCAGTGTGTACTAGGAAACCTTGTCAGCGCAGCTGCTTGCCACTAAGCCTTGCAGCCAGGAAGCCAGGATTAGATTCACCAAACAACAGGTTCTTGTGCTTGTCCCAGTAGTTCTGTTTTAGGTTCCTCTCCTAGTCTGTGTGTATCTCCCTCTGTGGAGAACTGTATGGAGCTTGGTCATTTCCATTTCTCAAGACCAGTACTCAACTCGAATCTGGAATAGTGCTTTTCAGCCTGTTTTGGAGGTGGAGAAAAAAAGCAATCCAACTTTGCAAGTGTGACACTTGGCAGACATAAGGGATTTTTTTTTTCCTCCTATAACATAAAAGCAGCCCTTATAGCACCCACACAACAGCAACAAAGACATCTACTTACCTTTCCACATCATGAAATCCAACAACAAAATAATGTTCACTCCTCTTACAAAATTTGGCAGCGCCTGTAGTGCCTCTTTCTCCTCCTTTTCTCATTTAATGCACATTGGCTAATAATCTCCAGGGCTGTATCAACACCTTCTTTTGTCTTGGCAGAACACTCCAGGTAAGCATATGCCCCAATGCTGGCAGCTAAAGCTTTTCCTTCTGTAGCGTTAATTGGCTCGTTGCCTGCAGTAGTGAGTTTCTTCTTAATGCCTTCATCACCCCTTAGTTCTATCTTGGTAGCCACCAGAATAATAGGTACCGTGGGGCAGAACAGTTTGACTTCTGGAACCCAAAAATCAAGGATGTTTTGCTGTGAGTCAGGCCTGTCCACAGAGAAGCACATTAAAATAACGTCGGTGTCCTTGTAGAACACTGAGCGCAGATTTCGATAACTGAATTCATTCTTCCCTGCCACATCAAAGAGAATTAGTTTCATCTCTTTCCCATCTACCTCTGTGTCAGTGGTGTAAGCGTCAAACAGAGTTGGCTCGTAGGACTTTGGAAGCTGTTCGTGACGCAGAGCGAAGAGGAGGCATGTCTTGCCACAGCGGTCATCTCCGACTACAGTTAGCTTTCTCCTGAGAGCAGCCATCCCTTGAAAACCAAGATGATGTACAAATGGATTACTCCCATGCTGGGTGGTTTGGGGTTTTTTTAGGTTTTGTGGAGAGTAGAAGGAGAAGAGGAGAGAAATCCCATTAGTTTGGAATTCTTCCCCTTATCTCCTTTTTTTTTCTCCATACTTTTGTCTTACTTTCATTCCCTATCTTTTTCCCCTTTTAATTTCTCTGGTATCAGAATCTTCTGAAATGGTGAGTACCTTGCTCTTGGCTATTATTACAGATCAAAAAATGAAGGTATAAGCCAAGTCTGGATGTAACCAAGATTCCTGCAGTGCCCTATATTTCTGTTTTATCATCTCAGACACCATTTATGGTCAGTGTTCAGTCCATAACAGATTTCATTTTCCAGATTGAATGACTTAATTTTGTGAGTGGGATGGAGTATAAAACACTGTACTGAACAAGGACCCAAATCAGTTTTATTGACTACATTTTTCCTGCCATGGTCTGCTAGTAGAATTCTACCAGTGGCGACAGCTATCCTGTGTAAGTCCATGCTGCTTTTGGTCATAGATCTGCTGTCATGTGGGAGTTAAGAAAATGTTCTCAGTCTTCATATATTCATGGTTAATTTATATGAGATAGAAGTTTGTTAGACTTACAGGGTAGTAATTTCCAGCATCAACCACCTTCTCGTTCTTGATGTTCAGTATTAGACTGGTTTCTTCTAAGATTGTTGCTGCCTCAGCTTCTTTAGGTCACTGGTTCCCCTGCAGAGAGAACTCACCACCACTCTTCAAAGACTATCATGATGACCACAGTATTTAAAGGCATAGGTCGATGTTTCTTAATATAGCCAACCAATCTACAAAGAGAACCTGATGACATAATTGTTTTTTAAAGAAACCTACTTTACTGGCAATAAAGTGGAAGTTACACAATTCATTAACAAATCAGAGCATGCTTACTTCAGAAATTTCCTCGTTCCTATTGCGAAAGACTCATCCTGAGTGAGCATTTCAGTATTGAGTGTGCCAAACTACTTTTGTGTGAGGGGCTGACAGTATTAGAGTGTAAAACAGCAGTAGAGCTGCCAGACAGACCCTCAAGACACCCCTTTCCAGATCTGCTGAGGCATTGTAGAGAAATGAATTGCAGAATCAAAGAACAGATGAGATGGGATCATCTAGTCCACCCTGCCCTGCTCAGAGCAGGACCAACTACAGCAGGCTGCTCAGGACTGTGTCCAGCTGGGTTTTGAATATCTCCAAAGATGGAGCCTCTCTGGGCAGCCTTTTCCAGTGTTTGATCATCCTCAAAGTAGTGAAATGAAGTCTATCCCCTGGAGACCCTAAAGAGAAAAAACTGTCCCGCGTTAAGGACACTCTGTTGAACTCCAGAGATGAAGACTGAATTCCCTGCTATCTTGTTGGCATTGGACAAGTCATTTCTACTCTCTCTGTCTCAGTTTTCCTGGTAGACAAAGACTGCAAGGTGTCTGCAACCACTAAAAACTGAGAACAAAGGGAACCGGAGGTAGATTAATTTGGTCTCTGCAGAGAGAACTGTTCCCAAAGGCATTATTAGTGATGCAGATACGTAACTGCTGATTAGTATAGTTGCGTGGTCAGCCCATTTATTTCATACTGCTACAGAAGAGTTCTTCAACTGAGATGAGGGTTTTTAGGTCTATAAATTTTAGCCTAAGGATGAGGAACTTGTTTTTGCTTAATTTGAAGTCAGCTGGAGACCTGAGGCTGCTTTAGTTTTCTATGGTGGTCTAATTTTACTCTGCCAGACCGTATTTCCTGAGTCCTATTCAATTATGAATCTGATAGTCTTGCCACAGGAACCTGACAAAATTAAAGTCATCGGCTTCTGACTTGTCCCACTTATTCCCCGGAAGAGCAGCGGCAATGGGTCCCATACAGCTCTTTAGGATCATGAAGGCATTTCTTGTTTGGGATGATGTGCTTTTATGTGCGCTGTACTTAGCCTAAACCTCTGTATGAAAACACACAGGTCTTTTTCACCTTCTCCTTTTGTGCCTTGGCCTTCTGGTTTCTAGGTAGATCAGTCTGGCTTCTCTGCTGAGAGCACTGATCACAAGGAGATCTGAGAGTTAAATTCTGTTTTTCTTCAGGGATGCTGGAAAGCAATGGACCTGCTGTGACACGCAACAAGTGGTCTGGCTCCTATATATGCCAGAAACTCTTAGCAGCTTAAAGGGACAGATACTTACCATTTCTGCCTGTCCTCCCGCATCTACTCTGAGCTTTTTCCCACTAGCCTGTAAACTGCTCATATTTAGCTAGCTCTTGCTTTCCTTACTTCACTGAGCAGCTTTGCCTGCATGAGGACTGCAGGATGCTTGTTGCTAGCGTTACAGTACAAGTCAGCGTGCAGGACTCAGTATGCCATTACTGGCACATACGTCTCCCTCAGCATGTTATGCCACAGCAGGCAATGTAGTTACTTGCCTACTTATTGACAAAAAGGAAAAAGATTACCTTCCCCACTGAGCTTTCACACTTTTGGTACAGATTTATACTTGAACAGAGATTATCTGAGTTACAGACATGCCCTTTAGAAAAATCTGTTCAGCAAGAAGAGCAGGGGGGGAATGTAATCTGGAAACAATCTCCAGTAACTGACTGGAATTGTCTTCTCAGCAACAAAAAATGCCAATTGGATTAAATCAAGTAAAAAACAAAAGGCTGAGCTTTAATCTCAAAAACCACCAGCACAAGCAATGAAAGCAAAGAAGTGGTGTCTTCTTTCTCCTGCTTCATGCTTTCTTCATCAATCATACAGATGTATGTGGTGCAGCAGAACTAACGCTCTGCTTAGAGAGTGCACATTTAGGGGTTACTGGAAGTGAAGTTTCAGCTTGCTTAAAGAAGTATGGTTTAGCATATCATGCAAATTTGATCAGAAAATATAAAAATTATAACATAAAGTTCAAATTCAGCCCTACAATATGTGAACTGACTACACTCCCTGGTGCCTTCCAGACCACCACCATGCTTGAATACAGAATCGGTCCTGCACAAAATTCCCAAAGGAGAGGAAAAAGCCACCTCATCCCAGAGCCTGTTTTCATTATTTTCTTTCCAGGTTTTCCACCTCTGCTCTCAGTCACCACCCCAAGAAGGAAGCCTAAGCACTTCCACAGATCATTATCCACTGTGCTCATTTACAGCACTGCTGCTCTTCCTCTTTCTGCTGCACTCGCAGCACTGCGATGCTGGTCAGATTCCCGTTTTCCTTGACACATCAATCCAAGCAAGAAGAGAAAAGGATTCCTGTGTACAACTCTACTCCTGATTTCCACTGCTCTTGAAACAAGCTCGCTTCATGCTTTCATGTATGGGCTGAAGAAAGAATGCTCCAGAGAAGAGAAGCAAATATATGTAACTGAAAAGATAATACAAATTAAAGGCCTCTTCACTTCCACTTAGACAGCTCAGGGCAGCTACCTTATAGCGCACTGATATTTGTGGGCTAAATCCACTGCAGGAGAAAGGTGCCATGCAGCAAATTTACATTAAGTATGAATCCCAGGGCATGATCAAGTCCCAGGTATTACACATTTAAGTATAAATGTGTGGTAAGCACAGTGACTTAGATGTTCCCTCTAGAGTCCATCGTTGGAGTTTACCCTAGGACAGTGAAATAAGCGTGATCTCAGCCTAACTGAGTCACAGGGCTGGGCCTCCTGATATAAAGCCTCTGGGAAACAAAATATAAAGCATTTGAAACCCTAGGTCAGGGAATTACATAGACTTTGCTGCAGTCTTTCTTGTAAGGTGAGAGAAGAAACATCAGGCCCTTTGGCTTCAGCGTAACTGTGTGGAAGACAACAGACCTCACTAAAAAATTACACAGTTAGGGCTCAGACCATGAGTGGGTGCTGGAACTCTGTCTGCGCTGCTCAGTTGCAAGAGCCCCTGCTATGGGTTTGATTTGGGTTAGTTGGACCTTTGCAGAGTATTCCCTTAGACATAGCTTGGAAGTTGGGACCAGCAGACAGTTTGGATGAGGCCACCCTGCTTGGAAGTCTAGAAGAGTTAAAGAGTATGAACGTGGGCCACTTAGTTTGCTTTCTCTGCGCCGAGGCCCACAGGTAATTGCTAGCAGCACCCCAGGTGAACGACAGAGCCCTGTGCTTTGAAATAAATAAGCTGCGTATTTCCCTGCCTTTCATGGCCCAGCACAGATGAGACAATCAACATAATTGCTCATTTGGATGATTCTTTTTTTCTATTTAATGAAGTATTTCGCTCATGAAAAGACAAAACCAAATATCCAGGCATGATTCTTCATGCTACCCAAAAGTCAAATAAAAACGGATTGAAAAGCGTATTTAAGCAGCACCTCTCGTGATCTATAAAGTACTTGCAGCTTTTCCTGCTGCCACCCGAGGTGGAGCTTTCCAGCTTTGGAGCCGCGAGGATGGTGGGCGCCCACGGCGGCAGGGTGGCCGCAAGGTGGCTCTGAACTCCAGTGAAAAATCCACCATCAGCTGAATATCGCCGAGGAGCTTCGGGAGACTTACACCAGCACACGTATTTAGAAGACTGACATCATACAGCAGATTAACTCTAAATGCCTATCAGAATGGCTCTACATGCTTGTGATTGTATTTATAGAGAAAACAGCCACAAGCTGCCAATGCTCCATTGCCAGGACATGCCAGCATGGGGAAGACTTCCACATAGGTAACTTTTTTTTTTGTTTCATGAAGAATTTAAAACTGTGGGCAGTGACAACAAATGTAAAGGGACAATGGAAATCAGAAATTTACCCCGTTAAAAGGCCACAGGTAGTGTAGAACACTGATGCCTATGACTACACTTTATTTCTGTTTTTTTTTTCAAACATCAGTCTGAATTTATTATGTTCATGTAAAATATGCTGTACAAACTATGTAAGATCAAGGTACAAATCCATCCATCACCATCCAGGGACATGCTCTTTTGACAGGGAGAAATGGGAATTACAAAAATCTCACAGAAGATGAATTGTA